CGGGCTGGGCCGGGCCGGGCGCGGAGGAGGCGAAGGTGAGAGCGCCTCGCTCTTTGCGTGGTGTGCGGGGGAGTGTTTGTAAAGCTGCGGTTACCCCTCGGCACTGCTGAGCGCTCCGGGGCCGAGCGGGGCTTTTGCTATCTGCGTATGCAACGCTGCTCCGCAAGCGCGGCTATGGCCAGGGGAGCGGTCAGCCAGGAGAACCTGGTGGTGCTTCTTGACTGATGACGTCCTTTTAGCTCAAACGTTTTTGCCTAAAGATATAGGCCGTGTTTATGCATTCAAGTTCTAGAGTTAAGAGATTTAAAGCATGGTTGAACCTCTCATGGAGTGAGAGTGTGGTTTTCGGGTACCGAGAATTGCACGCTCCTCTCAGTACGAAAACACCATTTTAATCGAGGGAGACGCGAGCTGAAAAACACGAGCTGCAGAACGCTTCCTCGCAAGGGGATGGTAGGGAGGGGTGAGGCCTTGGTGGACCGCGACCATGGAAAAAAATGCAGTACTCGAAACCGAAAGCTTTAACAATTCAGATTTAGAAATGAGACTCCCCTGCCTCTCGCTCCACCCCTACAAATCACTCGAGATATTTTGAACTACCATTTAAATTAATGTTGGACTTGCCTGCTCACTAACCACTAGGATTGGAGCGTTTAGGCGAGTTATCCTGAGCTGGCCGTTTTGTTAGTGTTTATGTGTGTGTTTGTGGGAGTTATTTCAGTTGTTTCCCATTCGCCTTAAGCGAGCATGATAGATGTATTTATGGAGCATACCGTTGACTAAAGCGTGGCTTCAAAAAACAGAAAAGCTTTCCAGCAATTGAATGGGTAAAGAGGGCAATTTTCAGAAAAAATCAAAATCACAAATACTGATGGGATTAGTTTATAAAATAGACCTTTTTTTTGTGCTTCTTAAAAAACATGAGAGTCTCTAACTGAAAAGAAACAAATTATAAATTATATATTCCATTGTGTAAAGGAATATAAATGAGCTAAAATCTGCTCTTAAAGTTGTGTGTGTGTGTATGTGTTCATATTTCATCCATGTGTTCAGAGGAATTTTATGTAAATTGTTCAGGATTATGGTTATGTAAATCATGCTGAAACTGGTCAGTGCTGTCCTTTGCTCCACTTCTGCTTGTTTTTGAAAATTTATCTGCTTCTCTTACGTTTTTGTTTACGGGAATTGGGAAGCCTTCTAGGGAACCATGCTGTGGCTTAAAGTTTGGCATAAAGTCATGTCAGATGATATGACAAACAGAGCTGTCATTCAAAATGTACTTATCTCCTAAAAATAGGTATTTAATGTTACTGGTTGTAACTCCTAAGTTCCTGTGAAAGATGCAAGCCTTGTTCTAAGAATTTTACACAGATGTTAAGCATGTCTGTAGTGGTTTGCATTCCTATACGTACGTTATTGGATAGGTATATCTTTATATATGTACTGTGTCTCTCTATATTTCCTAACCTAGCACTCAGGATCAAATTGTGTTGGCTGATCAAATCATATTTTCTTTCTTTCTTTGAATTCATCTATTTATGCAAACATTTTCCAAAAATACCACTTAGGTATGCTACAGTTTTTTTTTAAAAAAAACTTTGATACTCAGTAGTGTGACAGTATAATGGTTCTGTCCTGACTGTGTTAGAGACAGCATCAGTGCAGAACTTTCCTTCTACTTTGTACATGAACATTATGAAAAGAAATAGATAACTTATCTCACTTTTCCAGCTTCTTGGAAGTTAGTTGAGCTACTTTGCTTCTGAAGTAGGTGTAAAAGCATCTGGACTGTGATTAGCATCTTCCTTAAGATAAGATACTGGAAGTCATAAATGGTGACCTCGAAAGGATTTCTTTGACTCTTCATCAAATCAAGTGCTTAAGATAATGCATAAGTTCAGTTTAGTTGACTTTCTATGGAAAATAGTTGTCTGCTCACTCAGAGCCTCAGTGTTCTGTAAGGCTGGTTGAATTGGCATCTAACCATTACATCCCCTGTAATTTTGCTACTATAAGCAAGACAATATTGTGCTGTTTCCATTTAGATTTGGACAAGTATACACACACGTGGCATGTTAGAGGGAAATTCGCTCCACAGTAAACTTTTCAAGGTGCACAAAGCATATGTTGGTTTGATCTGCTCCTAGCATAGTAGTATATAAAAAAAGAATTCTTAGAATATTTTCCCCTTTTAAAGTATGAAAAGAAAAGAGTAAGTTCCATGCAATATCTGGAAAAAAAATGTAATATGATATAGAAACAGATTCTATATTTAGAAATTCTTTCAGAAGAACATTTAAACCTGTTTAGTCAACTAATGCCAGCTATTGAGCTTTACTTGCTCCTAGATAACAACCAGAGAGGAAATGATTTTTGTAATGTAATAAAGAAAATAATTTACCCAGTGATTTGCTGAGTGAATGGCAAATACCTAAATGGCAAATTTAAAAATGATAAATTTTAACTCTAATTCTCAGAATTGCATACTGAATGAATAATTTAGATTCTAACATATGAGGACATACATATGTTTGAAAAAATATATTCTGAGCTAATATACTGTCTCTATTTCAAAAAAAAAGTTATAAATTAATGCTGAAGCTGTGTGTATTCACTGGCCTTAATTGACTTTGGAGAAGAAAAATAAAAAAGTCCTGGAACTTTGCAAGTTAGGTAAATTAGATATCCTGAAAATGAGACATGTATAATGTAAAGCCCTTGAGTTACTTGTGAGTCACAAGTAAAGAGATTGGTCTTTTGTCAGATAGGTTTAGCAGGTGTGTATTACTTAGCCTGTGGCTATATGTTCCTTAAAGGGCCTCTATCTGGCTGGATCAAAACCCCTTCTAACTGCTGGCCAGTCAGAGGGGCTCCCTTGTGCGTAGTCCCTGCCAAGTTGCAAACCATGCCCTTGAGTTTCCAGGAGCAGAGAGAGAAGCAACAGGGGCATCACCGGTGTTTGTGTAGTGAGAGGGAGGCAAGATAGGCTGCAGTGAATGGGAGAGAAAGATTGGACTGGATGGGAGATGCTGCCAGTCACACAATGCAATGTCGGAATGGCCCGTGGAAACTCCTAGTGGCTTTCAGAGGGTCACTTGGTTACGCACTTCTGCTGTGAAGCTGGTACATGAATTGCTGGAAAAGCTCAGCTTGCCGTTTTTCACTTTACTTTTGACATGTTCCTGCTTAATGATGCAGACTTTTACCCCCTTTCCCTTCATGGGAAGTGTGAAGTTGTAGAGACTCTGCGTTTAAGGTTGAAGGATTGGGTTAGAAGTTAAGCTGGGAATGATTTAAACATGAATTATTAAATCAGACTTTCTATGTAATTACTTTTTTTCTTGTTACTTTCAGTCCCTTGAAGATTTAAACAGGTGGAGTCTACTACTCATTTCTCCTTTTATTTATCCTGATAAGTTACTTGAAGCAGAACGTATAGCTTTTGTGACAGAAAGCATTTCAGTTCAAACAGATAACTCGCAGAAAATACCTGGCTGTTCAAAAGAGGTAAGCCGCTCAGTTTTCCTTGCTTAGGAAGTGGTAGTACTGGTAAGTCATTTAGTAGATATAGTTCTTAAAGCTTGATGGAAGAAAGTTAGGAATAGACAGTTTATGCATATTTAGATTTTCTGTTAGAAATAAGTTGTACGATACTGTCAAGACTACTGTGATTGTTAAAATCAACTTGATCACTGTTACAACTAATGGTTTTATATTATGCTTCAGATCAAGTCAGAGCCGTTTTATTCAGATCTTTTGTTAGTAGCAGTGTACTTCTCTAGCTGTGGCCAGAAACGGCATTGGGAAAAGACACATGTGGCTAGATATGCTGAACAGGAAAAACTGAGCGTGAGAGCTGCATCTCTAAGCTGGATCAGAAGTTCATTTAGCCCAATGTCCTGTCTGACACTGGCTAAAGCAAATGTCTTGGTAAAAATATAAAAAATAAGTGTATGTGATGTTTTCCCAAGTATTTTCCAAGTCCCCAATTCAGCCGTTGTAGAAAGTTGTATTTGAAATAGAAACCACTCTCGGAAAATTTCTTTGATCATGATTTATAAGTACAAGTTTGGAATTGCACATTTTGGATAATTTTAACCTTAATTCCAGTCCTGGCTTTCACCAATTTGAAGCTGGCACTTCCTCTCGTGCTAGAGCTGGGAGTTTAGTCCCTAATTTAAAAAATACAGCTGACCTTGTGACCCGTGCCAAGATACTGCCTGCATAATCCCTGCTTTTCCTTCTTTTTTATTTTATTTTATTTTTTTTTTAGAATAAGTTTAATTGCTAATGATAGGGATAGGTGTTGACTTGGAAGGTACCTAGCCAGTTTTCTTGGTAGATCACCACCATGCCTTGGGGAGTAGGTGTGGCTATTAAGGTTGTGTGAAATCTAAGCTTCTTTGAACTTGTTCAAGGGAAATATTGTAAAATAGAAAGTCAGCGATAGCATGCATCATATTCTAAAATCTATTTATTGACATAGATTAAAAGGTAAGCTTACCTGACTTTCTTATAAATTATGAACAAGTAGAATGTCAGTGAGCCTACGCTCATTTTATATACTCAAAATATATGCTTTCCTTACTGTCTTTAATCGGTGTGTTGTATTCTGTGCGTAATGGTAAACAGCAGAGCTTCATGATGGTGATGATAACATTGAAGTATTGGAGGTACTGTATGAAAATTGCACCGTCTTTCTGTTTATTTAGAACATGCTACATGAGGAAGTCTTAAGTTTTTCTTAGGTCATGAAAGCAAGTGGTGCTTCATTGGCTCTAAAAACACCCTCGGAGGAGAACAATAACATTTTATATCCTATGGAGAACAAGGGCTGTGGAAATAAAACAATAAGTACTGATTTCCAGCTATGAGTCTGCAGACAGTTCTGTAGTCTTTAATTAATATGGCTGCCGTTCAAAACTCTTTTTGTGTCTGGTTGTGGTTTTTATAATTACACTTGCTATTTGTTCTTGAAGCCAGTGGCGTTGTTTAGTTTGAGTTTAACAGACCTTCTTGGAAGGGGGAAAACCCAAGAGTGTCGCTTTGATAATGAATCTTTTTCTGCTTTTTCAGAGAACTTGTGCTGTTGTTGTTGTTGTAGATAAGTGACTTGTATCTTTGATCCTTTTAGTTAGTGCTTTTGACAGATTAAATTAATGAGTGTGTACTTTTTAAAACAGTAGTAATTGGCAGTTTGTATCAGTATTCTTTCCATAATTTGTGTTGAAAGCCATGTCTTAGAAATAGAAAAGGATAAAGATTTTACTTACAGAGGATGATAATGCTTTAATTCAATCTTGTATATGTTTCTTGGATCTTTATGGCCTTGATTTTCTGAGAAAGAAGTGTTTGTACTCCCTCTTCCCTTTCAGTTTGGTTTTGATGTTGCTTTGCTGCTTTGTTTCAGGATAGAATGCAAATGAACTCCTGTAGCTGGTACTGTTTGCTGTGTGACCCATTCCTGAATGGTGTTCTGAAATACTGTTTTGTTTGTATTTGGTATCACAGATTGACATTTGTAGGCATGAAGGATACACTTTTGTGTGGAAGGAGCTTCCAACTTAAATTTTTCTTTCTAGTTGAGATGTTTGTTCAGTGATACCATTAAATGTATTAGTCATTTTAAACACGTCAAACATCATAGAAGAATATCTTAAAAGTAACTGTTCCAGTATAGAATTTAGAAACACTAAAAACAATCACAGATTGAGTGATGGTTGGAAGGGATGTCTGGAGATCATCCAGTCTAACCCTCTGTGCCCAAGCAGGGTCTTCAAGGGACAGCAAACTATGCTTTTTAAAATTTTTGTTTTATAACAGTCTTTAACAAAATTCAAAGATCAGGAGTAATTTTTAGTTTGGTTATTTTGGTTTGTTAATGTCCCTGTGTTGGCTCTCTCTGTCTGTAAGTAAGTTTACTTGTTTGTTTTTGTGCATCATGCAGATTCATAATACTGTTGGTATTTTTGTGTTTTTTTTTTTTTGGTAACATTTTTCAGTCTGAAAAATGTATGTTTTATTCTTAGGTTGTGAAGTGGTCAGATTATTGTTCACCTTTGGCCTGTAAACCTGGTGAGCCTTATAAATTAATTGCTGAAGCAAGTATTGATAACTTCAGTAACCTTGGGATAGCATTCATGGAAGATAGGCTGCAAATGGATAACGGGATGGTGCCACACAAGATAGTTTGTAAGTACCTTTGCAAATTGTTTTTTAGGGCAGATTGTGTTTTGTTTTGTGGGTATTGTAGGGCTGTGCCTAAAATCTTTACGTCTACCCACATAAATATGCTTTTGTTTTTGAAAGATGTTGTCTTCCACTTGCCATTTTAGGCAGTTTATCGCTCTGTCATGTTACTGTATTTTAAACTTAAGATTGCCAAATGCAGAGATTCTTGAAAAGTCAGAACACTTCTTGAATGAGTTCTTTACAGAGCATGTCACAAATGCAACATGAGAAATAGCAGGAAAATATAATTCAAAAGATCTTTTTTTTTTTTTTCCTTTTGGTTGATGTTCAGTAGCCACTTTAATAATTAATTAGCCTTAGTATGATGAGATCCCTCAATACCCAAGATACTGTGTTATCCTTTTGCAAGTATGTAAATGTATGAACACAAAGACAAAGATAGAAAATGCTATCTCCGTATGTTGCTGAGGTAAGTCCATTAGATCATCTGATCTGGGTGTAAAGTCTGGTAGTTGAGAAATTTTCCTGGAATATGAGAAATTTTGCTTCAGTTTTCTTTTCCAAATGAGTTGAAGAGTATATGGTTTCAAGGGCAAATGCTCTTAAGTGAAGAAAGTGAAATTTAGATCTAGTATGCTGTAAGCTAGTTGACTATTTTGTTAATCTCATTTCTCATTGAATTTCTTCGAGAAATCAGCAACAAAAATTGGACATATACAATATACAGATGACCTTGTGGGAGCAGAGAGGGATTAAGTCAAATGTTGTCTACTTCGAAACATCTGCCTTTGATATTTCAAATCAACATATGGGGGAAAAAAAAAAGCTTTTTACTCTGACGATTATTTTTTTTTCTCTCCTTGTCCTTAGTTGGTTTGCTGTCTGAGATTTTGCACTAACAGTAATTATCTCTGACCTTCTTGTCTCTTTGGGGCTTCCCAGGAACATATTATCTTTACATTTATTTATTTATTTTTTAAGTAGTTGCTATTTGTCCCTTGGGTTCTTAGCTCATGTGTCTTGATATGGAAAGGTAAGTCTGCTTTTGTGCAGACTGGAAACAGTTTAGATTTTTCCTCTCTCTTTTCTTACTTGTGCCAAATTTTAGTTTAGATTTTTCCTCTCTCTTTTCTTGTGCCAAATTTCGATTTTTGCTGCTTTTAGTAATGCAAAAAACACTGTCAGTGTTTCCATCTTACCCGATAGCATCACTGCAAGACCTTTTTTCGAAATAGTTAATTTCAAAATAGCAGCATACAGTTTTCCACCCTGCATTCCTTAAGAAGTCAGATTTTTTCCATAGGTATTTCTCTTGCTTTCTGTCCCTTTTCACTCAAAGAGACACAGGCAAAATTAAACATTTAGAAGTGACACATTTATAAGATAGCCTCTTTACTTTCCTATTCTGCTAAGTAAGGATGGCATACAGTAGCTTTTTTGTTGTTTTATTTTTATGCAAATATGTCTGTACTCGCAATGAAATTTATGCTTAAATATTTGCTCAACCGGAGTAAAATTGAGTGCTGTTCTCTGTCAGACAATTCTGGAACAAAAAGAGGAAACAGCTTGTGTTATGAGTATAAATGTATTATATTCTCGGAGTGGTAGTTTTTAGTGTGTCAAATTAGTGAGTTTTTAGTGGATGACTTAGTCTGAAATTAACCTAAATTCAGTTGCATACTGCTATGATGAATATCATAATCTCTCTTTTGATATATTTTTATAACCCTTTTTTATTATTCTTAACTCTTTCAGCTGTCCACTTACAGGAATCTATTCTGAAGGAGTTGGGGCAGGTGGAACCATCTGAAAAAGATAAAAGCATATGCACTGCACAGATGAATGAAATAACTGCTGCAGATACTTCTGGAACTCCTGCTAAATCAGAATTAGAAATAGCTGCAAATCCAGGTGATCCACAGTCAGAAGAGGAGGAATACAAGCTAGAGCAAGTAAGCAAGCATGAAGAAGAATCCAGTAGTCTGTCTGACAGAGAGATAGGTCCTGGAGAACATCATCACTTGCATCTTTCCAGCTGTCATGAATGTTTGCAACTTGAGAACAGTACTATTGAGTCAGTCAGATTTGCCTCTGCAGAAAACATTCCTGAACTTCCTGATGATTGCAGCAGCAAACCAGAAGATAAAAATGATGAATACATAACAAGAGAAATAAAAAGAGTAAACCTTGCTGGAAAACCCCCTAACATCCTGATTTATGTTGGCTGTGAAGGTTCAAAAATGCAATTTGAGCAGGTAAAATCAGTCCTTGAAGAATGTGTTGATGGAGATAGCTACACCATCTACCATCTGCGTGAGGAGCAAGTTCTGAAAGATCCCTGGGTTGATAATGCGGTACTGTTGGTCATTGCCACAGAGGAGACTATTTCTGAGGAAAATCACAAACAGTTTATCAAGTTTTTATCTAATGGTGGAAAAATTTTAGGATTTTCTTCCTCATTTGCATTTAATGGTATTCAGATAAAGCGAAAGGACAAGCTGAAGACTGTTTGTGAATTAGTAGTGTCTAAACCGGACAACACTGAAATTAAGTTAGATTTTTTGATCAGTGGCTGCATTTTTGAGGAAGCGATGAAGGAAAACATCAGCAAAGTGAAACCTTTGAGCCGCTTAAGTAACGCTGACAGAGATCTGGTCATTGTTCGCCTGCCTTATGGAAACAGTGGAGGAGAAGCTGTTCTTTCCCAGGTACTGTGTATACAGAAGTATTAATTTGCTTCTGGCTATTCTATGTTGCGATAGGCACAAGTGACTTTTTTTTTCTTGAGTATGTTGCGTACTTCCTGGGGTGCTTGTCAGGGAATGAACCGAGGTCGATGTCTTGGTGAACATATGAGGAATCTGAGTGCAGGACAGTTCTCGCTTTCCTCAAGCAGCTGGAAGAGAGGGAGAGAATGTTCCCGCTGCTCCCTGTCTCCACCATGTACCTGTGCAGCTGTGGATTTTGCAGCAGCATGGTGTGACGCTGAGAGAGCAGAGGTGCTCAGTGAATGCTCAGCTCCAAGAGCAGAACTCCCCGCTTCTTCCTGCTAGGGGTTGCTCCGTGGTACCACTGTGCACTCCCACACTCTAGGCAGTGAGAGCTGAATTGTAGGTGAACTCGAGGAAGTTTATATTGGCAACATTAAAAAAAAAAAAAAAGTCCTGCTTATACATATGAATTATACTGAGACATACTGAATTATACTGAGACAGAGTTGGAGGATGAGGTAAAATAAAACAAGAAACTTGAAATAAGTCTCCTCATAAGTATTAAGGTAGCCAGCCCCTTTGGAAATCTGTGAGTGGAGACTGAGAAAGTTCAAGCCTCTCTTAGCTGCATGTGATATTTAGAAAAACTGTTCTGCAGTTTGATGCTTGAAGAAATAACTATATTATAAAGTTTAGTCTCTGAAATGCTATTGTTGATTTAGGTCTGCGGGTCAGGTACCTTTTTGTAAGTATTGTTGTTTCATGTAAGTTATGTTTTCTTCTTATCCTAGTGCTGCGAATGAACCAAATCACTTAATGGTGTTTTCCTTAGCAGTGTTTTGTTTAAGTTCTAGATAGATGTTAGGTTCATGGCATTGGTATTGGTGTTCTGTAATTAAAAATAGCTTTTTTTTTTTTTCAGTTTCCTCCCCCTACAGTTTATAATGAAAATTAAATTAATTCCATTGTTTACATTTATTTAACTTTCTAAAAGTTGTCATGTATGTTTTCGGTTACTAATATATGCTTTGATTTTTGTGTGTTCTGCTAAAAACTCTTGCTTGTTACTTCCTCAGTCTTCCTTCAGGTTTTAGACTCTAAATTTTGCACCTAATAATACATAGCTCAGAGCATCTCTGCTGGAGGTGTGGGAGAGTGAAAGAATGACCCAATATCTTATTTGTCCCACTTACCAGTACTAGTATTCCAGCAAGTGGGTATTTCTACAGTTGTATGGTATTGTAGTTTCCATTAAGAAACATACCTGTGCAAATCAATAAAATAATAATTAAAAAATAAAAAGAAAACAGCAGAGAGATAGATAAGTACAAGTTGTTCAAAAGCTCTGTTGCTGTTACTCTGTCTTCCTGAGTAATGTGTGAGGAAGGTTACATGTTTGCGGGTAGCTGGCTAAGTATTGGGTACTTGATAAAAGATATTAGCTTAGCAAATGAATTGGTGCTTTGGAAGTTTTCCTCTAAATGTCTGTGCTGTCTGACCTAGAGAGTTGTGTGCCATTTCCTAGTGTATATTTTGAGTTAGCCTCAACAGGAGCCTAGGTAAATGCTTTCACTTTAACATGGCTTTTCATTGTTATGTTGCTTACATTACATTATACTTTTGCTCTCCAGCAACACAGGAAGAAAAACAGAGCAAGATTCATTTGCCTGCTTTTAGGTAGATAAGGAACATAGTGGAGAACAAACTTTATAAAAGATGCTAGGAACTGTTTTTATTAGTGTTTTAGCTGTAAGGGGACTTTTCAAGAGTCCAGACCAGTTAATTCTAACCGCCTCCGTATCTGGTAGCACTTGCTCTTCAGCTTTCTGTAATCACTAGAAATATTCATCAAATGTCTCCAGTGTTTTCCTCTCTTGTCAGTTTATCAGACTAATGCTGCTAGTTTTTTTGAAAACTATTATACAGAGTAACATGTTTATAGTTTTGTGTGAAGGAGGCTTTACCACCCCGTGCTGCAAATGTGTACTAGAAGATCAATTAGATGCTGTTGCTCTCCATTTCTGCAAGCTGCATGGTAAAACTTGCCTTGTTGTACCATTTAAATTGACCCTTATGCTGTAGTAAAACTTAATACTGGAGTGGGTTTCCCCAGAAAAAGGGCATTACAGTATGGCTTCAGAAAATCAGATTAAAAGGATCAGAGTGTCATTTTATAATTTGAAATTACTTCCAGTCTGGATTTGAAAAGCGTTATTGTTTTCTCTTCAGAGCACTGACAGTGACATCAACCATTAAATATTCTGCACAGACTCTTTTTTTCTTTCTCTTTTTTTTATCCTGTTTTTCTTTTGTTTCTTCCCTATTTCAGCAGTTTTCCACCAACATCAATAAATTGGTCATATATTAAAGAGACAAGAACATAATTGAATACAAAATTGTATAAACGAACACAAATAGTTGTGCTTTGTTTTTTGCTTGTTTGTTTGTTTTTACAAAATGAATATGCAGGAGGTGGAGTACAAATGTTTTTTGAATGACCTGGTATACTTGTTTAAAAATATTAAAGAGTTCTAGACCAGATTTTTATTCTGTATTTCATTTCAACCATCAACTATCTGCTTCAGCCCTATCTGCTTAATCCCTGAAGAGTAATTCACTGCAAAGTTGCGTTTCAGATTTCTTAGTTAACTTTCAGACAGCAACATTTCTTTGGCTCCCCTGATAGTAATTTAATTCTTTTGACACTTGCTCTGAGTTTTTCTGACCTCATGCAACCCCTGGATAAAGCACTTCCAAAGATAATGCAATTCTGCTCTTGTACAAGCCACAATATGAGCAGTATTGCTGTTGTCTCTAGGGGGCTTACAAATATAAAATTGGTTGGAAAAGGGAAGTTGGTAAGTATGTACAAGTTTGAACAAGTCCTTCAGGAAAAGACCAGTTTATTAAGGGTTATTTTGTATAGACTTCAAAGAAAATTGTAGTGTTTTGGCAACTGTGATTCCCCCAAGGAAGTTATAAATGTACTGGGCTCTTCCTCCCCTGGTGTATTAGGATGGTAAAGCCCTCTGTGTAGATATGATGTGACGAAGACATAAGAAATTTGCTTTTAAAGCACACCAGACACACTAGGTATCTCTAGGTAGCTAACAACCATATTTAGTACAAAGCTGCTTTTAGAACTGTTTTGTCTATTTCTCCTTGCCACTCCAGAGTGTATGATACAAACTTTTTTTAATTCATTTTCTTTGCACATACTCTTCCAGGTGCACTTGGAGCTGGATATCAACTCTATGGATATCCAAACCGAAGAGGATTTTAATTCACTTAAGATAAGCAATACCAAGAGATATGAAATTCTGAAGGAGATTCTGATATCACTTGGCCTGAGTTGTGAACTAAGGGAAATTCCTATGTTAACACCTATCCATCTTCTGTCCTCTGATGAGGTAAGGCTTCTGCTTCTCTTGGGTTGGTTGAAATATAGCCTACAAGGTAAATTCTGTGTTCATTTCAATATACATTGTTTCTTACATAGGTAGAAAGTTCTTCGTACATTGACAACAAAAGATGAAACCCGAGTTAGAGAGAATGGGTTGGCAAACCAAAACTGAAGGACCAGAGTGAATGGGGAAGAGTGTGTAGCTAATGATATTCTTCGACACAGCTTTCTGCTTGAAACTGGTTGTCGTAGCAACTAGGTCAGGCCGACCATTGCCCTTTCTCTGGTTGAATGTTGAAAACTTGCGAGGATGCAGAAGTCTCAAACTCTATGCAACCTGTTCTAGTGTTGCCATACTGTTCTAGTCCTGACGTCCAGCCTGAACTTCAAGCTGAACTTTATGGTCACTGCTTTTTTGTTATATAATCTTGCACTGCTCAGAAGTATTTGGTTCTGTCATTCTTTTGTCTTTCCTTTTAGTAGATACAGTATGTTTTTAGATTGTCGAAGCAACTCAGGTTGTTTCTTAGCTGCTATCTCAG